GAGTCAGCATGAGATTTGATCGAGATATAAGGATTTTAATTTTTGCTAGTAACAGGCGAAAAACCGGTTTTTCACAACAATGCCTCTGGCGAAGTTATATTCATTTCTACACAAAAACAAATGTTACCACTATGCTCAGCGTAGTCGATTACCTATATTCCGTGGCATTTCGAGATTCCCAGAGATGTCTGCTCGGAGATAGATACGTGCTCCGGGAAAGCGTGTCCTGTCCGAACGACGATAGCTGGAGAGCCGGGACTTGCATAATTTTGTAGAGTAACGTCCGAACTATGTATGCATGCAAAAAAATTACTAATATTGTATGCTAGTTTTCTGAGAACGGAGCTAGTTTTCCAAAGATCCTCTGGAAATTCGAGCTTTGAAATTTTTTCGAAAGTTGTTTTCGCTTGTGAAAAGTTCTGCTCAAGTCTTGGCTATCGAACAGCGAAAATCGCAGGTCTCTATCTGTCTCATGTGAGAAGTTATTCAGAAAGCAACCAGGGTCGCCGTATTTTGGCGACGATAGTAGTATCAATTATACCGTCGCGATTATTAAAGTAAAGACAACTATAATTAGTATTTGTTTTATCATTTAGTTTCTATTTTTATAGTTTATTGTACTGTTATCAAATTTTTAATCAAGTAATTGTCCTGTTGTTATTTATGTTTTATTTACTCGTCAGCTATTGTTATTTAATTTTTCTAATCCTTTCGTTTTTTGGAGTCTTTCATACTTGAGATGCTTTTATCTTTACCTATTTATTATTTACGATCAAAAGTAATGTATATTTAACAAAGCCTGGATCCACTCTATTTTCACATTTCGCATGTATTGTCATTTTTTAATAACTCTAGGGTAGAAAACGAATGATGACTGTTCAATAGTCGCAGGCATTTTTTATTATATCTTTATTGATAAAATGTTTAGAACAAAATTTTTTTTCCTTTTTCAGTTGCTTCCGATTTCTACCATGAGATATACTTAAACTAATATAAAACAGCAACACTTCATTGATACATTATAATTTTTTAGTCATGTAGAGAAAAAGAAAGAAAAATGGATTGAAATAATAAAATTATAAGAACATAAAAATATATACTGGGCATGATGAATTTGCAATAAGTGAAACAGCCATTAGACTAAATATATTTTCTGAGTTTCTGAGAATAATATGATATATATATGATTCACTTCTGTTTATTTGTCGTTCAAACACAATAATTTTTGATGAAAAGTGCTTATCCAATGTTGTTTGGCCCTCACCGAAGGCTTATAAAGGTTTTTAGAAAAGTTTTCTGAAAATCTTGAAAAGCTGACTTTTCGAAAAAGTTTTACTTTCCGATTAAAAAGCAAATCGAAAAACTCCCTTTAGTTGCACCAGAAAATAGAGTAAACATTTCTGATCAAAATGAGCTATCTTCTAGCTCTGAATGATGTTCTAATCAAGAATTATGATGGAAGCCCTAAAACTTGCATTAGATACTGGCGCCCCCGTATCTCCAAAGCGACTTTCAACTTAATACCATTTCGTAACTCCCAGATTTCTCGGTAACGAAACATTGCAGGGAGCTCGGAAAGGCCTTAAATTGAAGCTGATACATGTGGCTAGAGGGTAATAGAGCCCGACTTTTGATATTCGGTCTAGATTTGTGATTAGAAAAATATCTTTACCAAAGTTAATGAGACTTTGTCGAATTTTAGACTTTTGACGCTGACCATTCATTTCAAAAGAAAAATTTCAAAAATTCGATTCTATTATTCTCTAGCCACATGTGTTTTCAACAATTTAAGATCAATCCGAGCTTTCCACAACGTTTCGTTACTGAGAGATCCTGGGCCTAAGAACAGCCCCATTTTAGTCACTGTTGTGGCGATATCTCACAAACCATACACGATGAAGCCAACAAAAATTTTCGTCACCATACTTTCACAAGATCAGCGTCTCCTAGAAGTTTGATCTAGATCGGACTTATAGTTGACAAGATATGTTTCTTACCAGGGGGTAGGAGCGGTGGCCTTAAGAGTCTGGATGATAATTATATATTAATTTTGTAGACAAATGAAAATGATTTACATGATATTTTCATCGAAAGATAGAACGAACAGTCGCTATTTTTTGTTGATTTAACGAGGGAACCGAGAATTATTTATTTCAACGACAAATGAACAGAACTGAACTATATGTATATCATATTATTCAGAAACTCACAAAATATATTTACTCTAATATTTCTTTCACTTATTGCATTTAATCGTGCTCAGTATATATTTTTACAAGGGAAAATTTCTTTTTTAAAATCTTCTGATCTTTCATGATTGTAGAGCATGTCGAGTTGTGTATGTATAAATAAATTTTTTCGACTATCGAACATGTTTTGACAAAGTTATAGTCATATTATGGAACAGCTCATGTTTCCCTATACATGCTTTCACGAGTTAAATTATAATACGACTATAACTTTGTCAAAGCATGTTCAATAGTCGAAAAAATTTATTTACATGCAAAACTCGACATGCTCTACAATCAGAAAAGATCAGACTTTGATTTAAAAAAAAAACGTTTTACTTTGAAATACTGTTTTTCCAGAAAACTGGATCTTAAGAGAACTAGCTGCCGCTTCCATGTTCATATTCGGAATCAGCATCATTGATTACCTATACTCTGACGTCATTTATCTAAAACGTCAGATAACACCTGAAAACATTCCTTCGTACAAGTGAAAATGAGTCCATTATAGTATTCTAAAACTTAAACTATCGAAATTATAAAATCAGTTATGCACGGTGAAGGGCAATCACCTCGATGCTGTTAAAGGTAATTTTCTCTATCCTTTATTTTGTGTATTTTTCCTTCGTTCAAGAAAGTTTATATGAATATCAACTATGTGCGCACTAATGTGTGATTAAGTCTGAATTGTGAAAAAGTTCATTTTTTTTATTGAATATAATATATATCAATTATTCTCAATCACCTAAGTGGTTTCTTGAAATATATTATATTTTTCCTATTTAACTTTTTTTAATATATTTTTCTGATTTCCGTCGAAAATAACTTATAAAAATTTTTCTTACATACTAAGTGTAGAAAATTTAATAACAAAACAAAATAAATTAAACAAGTGCACGAATTGTACATTCTGTTTATATTTAACAATAATAATGGACTTTTTAATAATAAACTATACGGACAATGTTATATTTTAATACAGAATCCATATTATGAGAAATAGTTTTTATAATATTTGTTTGTTTACACTTCTTCATTAATTCATAGAAGACAAAACATGCCAAATCTTTGGATAAATTGTCTTTTTTTGATATTATGTTCATTATTAAATTCGAATAATGGTAGTCACTTTGAAGGTGGTACTATCACGTATAAAGTCGTCAATTACACATCATCAACTGTATCAATTATCTTGACTCAATCATATACATACATATTATCAATAGTCTTTTGTAATAATACATACATTTCAAGTCAAACACAATTAAATTTTGGTATCTACCCAGATCAAACAAGCACTATAAATTGCACAGCAAATTGCTCAACATCCGGCGGCTTTTCTTCAATACCAGTTCGTAGTTATTGTACAGATTATAGTTCAGCTTTAGGAATTACGACCGGACAACGATCGGATCTCGTTACATTATCAAATAATTCTTATTTCTTCGTTAGCTATATAGGAGCTAGTTATCGAAATTTAACTTTATATTCTACACTATATCCTTATCCTTACGATTTCGTTTGGTATATAACATGTTTGATTAATTTAAGACCAAGACCGGATGGTAGATTAAATACGCCGCCTGCAGCTACGATTATTTCACCAATGTATATCCCAGTTGGTATTCAACAGTACATAGATCTACCTACCATAGATGTTGATAATGATAATGTGCGATGTCGATTTTCAAGCGGTATAAGTGAATGCGGAAGTGTTTGTGCACCTTCATCACTACCAAACAATACTCAAATACTTAATAATTGTACATTGATTATTACCGGTGCAAAAGTCGGCAACTGGTATGCCGTGTCGTTGCAGGTAAGAAAGCTCTAGTTCGTTATTTTATAAATGGAAAAATCGTTAATTTATTTTATCTTAGATAGAAGACTTTTGGAATTCCAGTACGACTACGCCGTTTAGTTCGATTCCACTACAGTTTCTCATATACGTGTACGCCTTACCTTCATGCACGACTCGGCCTGTTCTTTACGGTGATTACACAACTGGCTCTTGTACTAATCTGCAAGTTGGTCAAACGTTCACAACACAACTAATCGCACAGAACAATTGTGCGAGCTACAATATTAATATTACAGATATCAGCACACTATCTTTTCCTGTAGTAACCAAAAGTGCTCTAACTCAGAATACAACAACACTTTGGTCAGTTACATTAAAGTGGACACCAACAAATTCTCAAACTGGATCGAAAGTGCTTTGTGCGGTTGCTATGGATAGGTATCACACTATCAACTAAATTATGATTCCACAAGAAACACTCACGATTTTTTATTGAACATCTATAAATCACATTTTCACGACGCTTACAGACACATAACCCTGATTTCTGTTCTACAACAGTATTCATTTCTATTTAGTCAAAATGTTCAATCAAATCAATACTGCATCACATTCACAGTAGGAACTGTTTGTCCTGGACAAACCACCACAACAATGTGAGTTCATTTCTTATTATCTGAAATGCTGTGATGACACTACCTGAGTATTCGGTATTAAAAATCCCTACCAAACGAATAACACTCATTGTCTATCCACAGTTGGAGTTAATTCTTCACCACGATTTCACTTTCCCTCGGCCTCTCTGTTCACATAACAATCTGAAGCGAAAATGATTTAATAAATCGAGTGTATATTCTTTTCATAACATCCAAATACATGAAAATCTGCGGTTAAGCCCATCAGAATAAAGCCCACCTCAAGACATAGAGAAAACGGGAATACTAAATTAAAAGCACTATTCTTTTTCAGAACCTACAACTCAACGTATACCACGACGGCAACAACGATCGTGTCTACCGCATCGTGAGCATTTCACTGACATTTGCTCTTCGCCATCATTAGCGGCTTGTCGTTTTCATATTTAGCATCACATCGGCCAGTACAAAAACTACCGGGTAAGATTGTTTGAAAATACGAATTAACTGAAATTAGTTAAATAATAATTAGTAATGGACTGTCTCTCTATTTTAGCACAACAGCAACTATTACAACTTCAACCAGGTTCGTTCTCTATAAAACCTTTAAAACAACTATTTGTATAGATGACAATCTTTTCATTGAAGTATAATAACAACATTATCAACACACAGCACTGTGTTAACAACGTTCACAACGAGTACCATTCCAACGTAAGAATCTTAACACTAACTGGTATCAACGTAAAACTTTGAGTATCTGTCCGTAAACATGTTTTGAACAGTCATTTTTTCTGAAAAAATTATTTGTAAGGATAATGACAGAAGTCAAAACACCTGACATATAACTCAAGAATCTCTGGCGTTTTGTTGCTACTTATTCAAATAGAATATCTGAGCCATGTTACTTAAGTCATTTCCACTTCATGCTTAGGATGACTCCAACTACCGCCACAAAAGCTACGACGTAAACTTTAATTTGAAAAGGAACATCTTAAGTTTAAACATGGTTTATGTGCATTTGAGGTGTCATGCAAATTTTCCATTTGAGATAAACTCTTTTAGACGAGTAGAGAGCTATTACCATACTGAGAGGTGTTTAAGAAGCTATTGCCACCGTGTAAGAGGGTTAACTGAAGTTATTGCCACCTTTTAGCTAGAAGGTATCAGTTAGTGTTATTGCCACCTTTTAGCTAGAAGGTATCAGTTAGTGTTATTGCCACCTTTTAGCTAGAAGGTATCAGTTAGTGTTATTGCCACTTCCATTCATGGTATCCTGTTAGAAGGTCCGAATTGTCGAAGAAATGATGTTCGCAGAAAATAGGCGAAAATATAAAAACGGAGAACTTTTTGTAGGCTCTTCTGCTGTTAAGCCCATCAGAATAAAGCCCACCTCAAGACATACTGGAAAACAGTGTACCAAATTAAGAGCACTATTATTTTTCAGAACCTACAGTACAACGTATACCACCACCGCAACAACGCCCATGTCTACGGCAACGTGAGCATTTCACTGACATTTACTCTTCGCCATCCTTAGCGACTTGTCAATTTCACATTTAGCACCACATCGGTCAGTCCAGAAACTACCGGGTAAGATTGCTCGCAAATACGAATTAACTAAAATTAGTTAAATAATAATTAGTAATGGACTGTCTCTCTATTTTAGCACAACAGCAACTATTACAACTTCAACCAGGTTCGTTCTCTATAAAACCTTTAAAACAACTATTTGTATAGATGACAATCT